CTGTTGGCACCAATAATATGTGAGCCCCTATTCCCTGGGAGTGTGGAATTTGGGGATCAGCTAGGTAGAGGGTGGCCCCAAGTTAGGATCAGCCAGGGGGCACCTCAGAAGACCAGCAGGTAGAGGACACCCGGTGTTTGTGGACTAGTCCTTGGTGAAACCCTTTGCCTCTGGGTTCAGGCCAGCTCCCTGGCATATCCCACGTGCTGTCATAACATGATGCTGGAGGAATGTCGCGAGCCCCCTGAGGGAGGACTCTACAGAGCTGGTGCCAGCTTTCCCGGGAACTTCCTCCCCAGCTCCCTCTCTGTTTGCTGATTCTGCTCTGCACCCTTTGACTGGATTAAGTGATGGCCTTTACGCTGAGCCCCGCGAGCCCTCCTGGAGAAGCGCTGGATCATGGGAAACCACGACACAGCTGCCTGCTCCCCAGACAACCTGGGGAGACATGAGCGTTTTCCAGGTGAAAAAGTAGAGGACCAAGAACCCACCTTGTGCCAGTATCTCCTTGTAGAGAGTCCCCTTCACCTCCCCGCACGTCACCGGGAGCTGAGGACTCTGGAAATTGATCGTGTAGTCTTTGGGAATTCTGGGGCCTGAAAGGGAACACATTTCCATTGCAGCTTCCTCTGGAGCAATGGCCTGCCTGTCCTCGGACTCTTTGAGAGCCGTCTTTAACAAGTTAAAATGTGTGGATGATTTACTATGGTTCCATCTTACGATCTCTCCTTTATGGTCGATTAGATGCATACAAGTAATGTCTTAAGCCATTCCCAGCCTCTGAAACAGTGGTTCTCCACCTTCTTAATGCCGCGACCCCTTAATACAGTTCCTCATGTGGTGGTGACCTCCAATCATAACATTATTTTCATTGTTACTCCATCACTGTCATTTTGCTACTGTTATGAATTGGGCGACCCCTTTGAAAGGGTCGTTCGACCCCCAAAGGAGTCGCGACCCACAGGTTGAGAACTGCTGCTTTGAAAGGATGGGGGAGTTTCTGTGGCTAATCCCTCTGAAGAGGGCATCCTATTCCTTCTTCCTAGTCTGTGCTTAGTCTGGAAGCTCTGCTGAACCCCATTCACTTCGACCCTGCTGATCTTTGGAAAGCAGGGCCCTAGCTTCCGACAGCACAGCTTCCAGCATCACACCAACCCACCAGCTACCGCAGTGCGACAAACTGACAGGTACAACAAACGAGTCGCTCAGGTGTACCTCTTTTTCTCCATCTTCTCAAGGGTCCAGCGTTGACTCGGTTGACTCCAGAGAAAACAGAAAAGATGACACAGAGTTCTCTTGTTTAGAACATTACAAAATATCATTCAAATGTAAGCATTCAGGTGTAGTATTTATTTCTTTCAGGTGTATTATTTAAAGAAACATATCATAGTGACCCTATAATCCAGAGGTTGATAAATAAGTAAATATTTGTAGCATTAGAGACTCTACAAAAGCATTGACTCACGGGGGGGTTACAGGCGGATTTCTGTGTTCACTAAGGGTGTGCAAAAGAAACCAGACCCGGTCCCTGTACACGTTGACGTCACTCATCACTCACACACACGTGGCTTTTGAAATTGGGGACACAAAGTGCTTGTTCTTCCTTTCTAAAGGTCCTTGCCCATCATTTGGTGCCCATGGTTGTCATCAGGGCTGCCGCCATGGGTAGTGCCGAGGCCAGGAGGAAAACTCCTTCACACACCCATTCATCAAGGGTGTTTCCTTCAGCAGATTGGGCTGGAAGGAGACCATTCCTTCCGTCAAGCCCAAAGAGGCCTTCAGTCAACTGAGTTGACTTTGACTGGTGGTGACTGAATCTGTCAGAGCAGAAATGGTCTCCCTGGGGTTTTCAGTGGCTCATTTTTTTCAGAAGCAGAACCTCAGGCCTTTCTTGTAAGGCTCTTTTGAATGAATCAGGACTTCCAACCTGCTGGTGTGCAGTTTGGCACATTAACTATTTGCACCACCTAGGACTGAGCCTTTGCCATAATGATTACTCTGAAGGGTTTTTGGTTTTTAACCTCTTCAAGATAAAATTGGCCCCATGAAACATTTATGAGAAAGAGGAATAACATTTCGAGAGTAAGTGTGTTCTACAAGGTGCTCCCTGGAGACAGTTTATCATTGGGAGGCGGGCTCACTCAACTTATATAAGACAGGAAAAGGACAGGCTTAAGAGAAAGGAGTGAGAAGGCGGTAATGCAGATACTAAGGAAGTAAATAAGGGTTTCTTCACACTCCATGCTTGACTTGCAGAAGGAAGTTGTTCTAAATGGATTCATTTCCAAGAATGTGATTGCGATAGGTTTGGCAATGGGTGTGGCTGCCAGGAGTAAAGGGAACGCCCATACAAGTATGACTGTCCGATGGATTGTCCTCTCCTGGCCCTCAAGAAGACAATGTTAGTCTATGTATCCAGAAACCTGGTCAGCTCTGACTCTCATTTCCCTTTGGACAGGGTCAAGGGCCCTGGCATGTTGCTCTGTCTCTTCTCCCATAAGGAGGCTAAACCAGACGGCCAACCTCGGCCAAACTTGGGCCCATAGCCATGATTGACAAACACCCATTTTATTGCTCCCCGCCCTCTCTGTTTTACTCCTCTGGGTCTAATAGGTGGGTTAGACTCACCTTTCATCAAGCCTATTGAGGGCAAAAAACTTCACGGAAAGAAAACAGAAACCGAGTGTGCTCAACCCCAGCTATCAGCAAAGGCAATTTGGGCAGAAGGCTGATCACCTGTAGCACAGCGCAGCTGAGCTTTCCTTCCCAGGGGTTCTTTGGGTTCCATTGCTCCCCTGGACAAAGCAGTTTCTCAATATTATTTGGGTCCACTAGTCTTAACACTTTGCTGAAGATCATTCGACAATGATCAACATTGACAGGAAGCTGCCAGAGGTTCAGGCTGGATTCAGAAGAGGACACAGCACAAGGGATATCACTGCTGATGCCAGTGGATCTTGGTTCAAAGCAGAGATGTTTTCTTTTGTTTTATTGACTCTACAAGGGCATTTGACCATGTGGATGATAACCAACTATGGGTAGCCTTGAAAAGAATGGAAATTCCAGAACACTTCATTGTGTTTATGGGGAACCTGTAATGGATCAAGAGGTGAAAAGGGAAAAAGAGGACTATACATGGTTTAAATCAGGAAAGGTGTGCATCATAGTTGTATCCTCTCACCATACTTATTCAATCTGTACACTGAGCAAATCATCAGAGAAGCTATATTATAAGAAGAAGAATGTAGCATCAGGCTTGGAGGAAGGCTTATTAACAACCTTTGATATTGAGATGATAAGACTTTGCTTTCTTACAGTGAGTAGGACTTGAAGCACTAGCTGATGAAGATCAAGGATTGAAGCTTTTGAATTATGGTGCTCATGAAGAATATTGAAAGCACCATGGGCTACCCAAAGAACCCTGTCTTGACAATAGTACAGCCAGAATGCTCCTGAGAGGCAAGGATGAGACTTTGTCTGACACACTTGAATATGTCATCAGGAGAGACCAGTCCCTGGTGAAGGACACTTTGCTTGGTTAAGTAGAGGGACAGAGAAAAAGAGGAAGACCTTTGACAAGATCGACGGACACAGGACAATTGTAAGGGTAGGGCAGGACTGGGTGGTATTTCGTTCTGTTGTACATCGGGTCCCTATGAGTCATAACTAACTTGATGGCACTTAACCACAACGACCTCCAGGCTTTGTGAGTGATCCTCTTAAGCATCGGCCTATTAACCACAAGGTCAGTGATTTAAACCCACCATGCACTCTGAGGGAGAAAGATGAGGCTGTCTTGTCTTACAAAGATCTACAGACTTAGAAACTTTAGATGGGCTCACAAGGAGTGGCAACTGACTCAATGGCCATGGGTTCCCTGCCCCCTCAAGCCAAGTGGGAAGGCTCTAGGAGATCTATTTAGGAGATGGGTTTCTATACTTGGGAAGTAGAGACTATTAGGTTCACCCCAGAGACATTCAAAGGTGAAGCTCATGTCTACAGAGACCTGTGATGGCTGAAACGATTGAGTTGAGAGCCAATGGAGCAATCATTGGAGTGCCATGCTGTCCAAGTGCACATTATTCTCATGGGGGTGGGCAAGAGCAGGGGCAGCAAAATCACTTGAGTGTTAGGGACTTCCTGTGGTTACAGCTATTTCCTGCCTGGAGATTTAGGGGTATAGTGGAGGTCGCCCTGGCCTGGCCCCTGGACCCCTGGACCTGACACAGATTCATCCTCAAATTGCTTGTCTGTGATACTGTCGTTTTTTCTCTCCCTGGTGTGTTTTGGAAATTATCGACATCAAACATATTCCCCCAAAAGTTTGTACAGCTATATAAAGCAACTAAGGAAATGGGCTTGTTCTGAAAGCATGGAATGACGTGTGAGCAGCGAGGTGTTTCGTTATCCACCTTTCCTGCTTTACCTTTTGAGTGGCCTCTTTTCAGCCTGTTGTTTCTCTGGCCATAAAGCTTCCTAGGCCAGAGTCTCTTTCTCCCTGAGAAAAGAGAAAACCATATAAACACAGGCTGCCAAAAAGCCGTATTTCATAGAAGAGTGCTTTCCTCAAATCCCATTTGAAGAGCCCGCTGCATAAAGAAAAATCTAGAATTCACAGCATTACAATGACCAAGCCTTTCACAGTCAACCTACATTCATTTTAGATTTTACTTTCTTATACGGTCACAATAGCCCCTAAGATAATTTAATATAGTTCCATTTGTATCGCAAGAAACTCAAAATAACCATGAGAGCCAGCACTTGCTAAGTGCGTATTAGATGCTAGGCATTATTTCCACCACATGTCTATCAGTTTGTCGCACTGTGGTAGCTTGTGTGATGCTGTGATCTTGGAAGCTAGTTCACTGGTCTTTCAAATACCAGCAGGGTCACCCAAAGTGAACAGGTTTCAGCAGAGCTCACAGACTAAGAGCAGATATGAAGAAAGAATAGGCAGTCCATTTCTGAGAAATTAGCCCCTGAGGAAAAAATTATAGATAGCCTGTCAAAACATTGTCCGCTACTAAAAACCTGATGAGTTGAAGCAGAACATTGTCAGAGATCGTGTCAGAAAATATGCTCCTCGGGTCAGAAGACACTCAAAATATGACTGAGGAAGAGCTGTCTTCTCAAAATAGAGCAATCATAATGACGTGGATGGAGTAAAGCCTTCTTGAATAAAGCCTTGGATCTTCACTTGCTGCTGGGGCATGACTCAAAATGAGAAGAAACAGCTGAAAACATCGATGAATCATCAGAAGTTGGAATGTACGAAGTATGAATCTAGGAAAATTGGAAGTTGTCAAAAATGAAATGGAATGCATAACGATCAATATTCTAGGTGCTGTTGTTATAAAGTCTGTTTTGACTCACAGAGATCCGATGTACCACAGAATGAAACACCGCCTAGTCCTGCACCAGCCTCACAAGTGTTCTTATGCTTGAGCCCATTGTTACAGGCACTGTCAATCCCTATTTGTTCCCTTCCAAAGAAAGGTGATCCAACAGAATGTGCAAAAATAGCACAATCTCATTGATATTTCACGCAAGTAAAATTTTACGTGAAGATCATTCAACAATGGTTGTAGGACTATACGAACAGGGAGCTGCCAGAGGTTCAGGTTGAATTCAGAAGGGGATTTAGAACAAGAAGTATCATTGCTGACATCAGATGGATCTTGGTTGAAAGCAGAGAATACCAGAGGATGTTTACTTGTGGTTTATTGACTATGCCAACGCATTTGACTCTGTAGGTCATAACAAACTATGGATAACCTTGAGAAGAAGGGGAATTCCAGAACATTTAATTGTGCTCATGTGGAACCCATATGAGGACCAAATGGCAGTTGTGGGAACAGACTAAAGGGATACTGAATGTATACTGAGAGGTGTGCATCAGGGTTGTAGCCTTTTACTATACTCATTTAATCTGTATGCTGAGCAAATAATCAGAGAAGCTGGATTGCATGAAGAAGAATGGGGCATCAGGATCAGAGGAAGACTTATTAACAAGCAGTGATATGCAGATGACTCAACCTTGCTTGCCCAAAGTGAGGAGGACTTGAAGCTCTTGCTGATGAAGCTCTAGGATTGTAGCCCTCAGTACATACATATTACAACGGAATGCAAAGAGAAGCAGAATCTTCGCAAGTGTATCACTAGGTAACATCATGATAAATGGAGAAAAGGTTGAAGTTGTCATGGATTTTGTCTTGCTGGGTGAGTTAGTTAATTGTGCCAACCTGGCCGATAAACACATGTGGGGCTAATTGAAAGGTGGAGGGATAAATGGGTGGTGAGCCTCGCCTTTCTAGTTCTTGGGTCTCTTGCTTTGTGATGGTCGCACCAGGGTGCAGCTGCCTTAGCAGTTCCCTGCTTCAGCTGGCAAGATTGACTTCCTACAAGACACCCCAAGGAGAAGCCACATGGACCTATCCCGATGCAGCCCTGGGTGCTGGAGCAGCCGTGTGGAGACCCCTGCTAGTGCTGAGATGCTTATTCCTTCACTGACTCAGCTTTCCTCCTGAAGTTGGCATCATTGCCTCTGTTTTGTGAGGTGGAGGACTTTGTGGACTGGTGTTGGGTTAATGTTGGACTTGTGGGCTTGGGCAGCATTGGGTTGGGATGTTTTCGTGATGCACACTTTCTTTACATAAAACTCTCTTATACATGAGTTGCTGTGGATTTGTTTCTCTAAAGTACCTAGACTAATACACTGGGTTTGAAACCAAAGCTCATGGATGCAACAGTCAAAAAAAAAAAATTCGAAGGACCCATTGCATTAAGGAAATGTGCTGCACAAGAGCTCTTTAAAGTATTGAAAAGCAACGTTGTTACTCTGAGAACTAAGGTCTGCCTGATCCAAGCCATGGTATTTTCAATCGCCTCACATACATGTGAAAGTTGGATATTGAATAAGGAAGTTTGAAGAAGAATCAATCTATAGCACTAACTATAGTGCTATGAAGAACTTTGCTGTATTGTGGGCTGTCAAAAGAACAAACAAATCTATCTTGGACAAAGTACAGTCAGGATATTCCTTAGAGGAAAGGATGAGGAGACTTTGTCTCGTGTATTTTGGACATGTTATCAGGAGAGACCAGTCTCTGGAGAAGGATTTCATGCTTGGCAAAGCATAGGGGCAGTGAAAAAGAGGAAGGTCTTTGGCAAGAGAGATGGACAGAGTGGCTGCAACAATAGGCTCAAACATCAGAGCAATTGTGAGGGTGGCGCAGGACTGGGCAGTGTTTTTTTCTGTTGTCTATAGATTGCAATGAGTCACAACCTACTCAATGGCTCATAACAACAACAAGACTTTATTTCAAGACCTTTGAATTTACGAATTGATTGATGTTATAAGGACGTTGACTATCCCCATTACCAACGGAAAAACTGAAGCATATGGGCACAGTTCAGACAAAACTTACAAAATTTAGTGAAGAACTGCAGATTTCATTTGGTTTAGAGGCAAAAACTTGGGTTGTCCAAGGAGATGTGTTGTGGGGCCACTGGGTGGGTATCAGCCGTCAGTAAAGACTTTGGGGCTGAACGAAAGTAGTGGAAGTGATCAGATATCTTGCCTACCTGGATTTGGGTAAAATTTTAGGTTCTGGTCAATAGCAATGAGAGAAGAAGCCTTCTGGATCTTTATGCTAAAATAAATCGACAGGAGAATCCTTTGTCCATTTGGCCCTTTCCCATTGGCTGGGAGCTAAGTAGAATCAGGTCTACTTCCTTGGATCCGGGAATGGAAGCCAATTTTTAAGGAAGGCTGATTTTCCTTACCACTTCTGCATGGGAGATGAAAGGTAAATCATTTGGTATAAGCCGCTGTGCTTATGGGTCTCCTGGTTGTAATGGCATAGCCTCTCAACAGTCCATTGACTCTGAAGCTTTCATGGCCCATAGGAGATTGTGGTGCTCCAGCAAAGATGGTGAGGACCATAGGAGTTTTAGAAGCGTTATGCTAAGATTTCTCACTTACCTTTGTGGAGTTTGATTTCTCCCTCCAAATGGTTCCTCTTTTGGGCTTCAAACAGAAAAGAATGAAAATAATACTTTAGAATTCGAAACAAACATTTACGGATTTTCTATGTTCGTTTTGTCCGTCATCCTCAAGCAAGGTCCCTGAGTCATGGCAACGGAATACACAACTGCTAACCAGAAGGTTGACAATTCGAACCCAGCTAGTGGCCACCCTGGCCATCTACTTCTCTCAAGGGACAGCCACGGTAACCGTGGAGCATGTCTCTCTGGAACACAGGGGTTCGCTGTGAGTTGGAATTGATTTGACAGCCACAAAACAACAACAACAACAACAACAACAACAACAACGATCTCCAAGCATTTGATTCGTGGGGCTAACTATCAAGTTACCAACATCCCATCTTAATTGTCACCACGTAGAAAACAGTGCAGTCATGTGTTGAATGTTCCCACACACCTGCATAGACAACAACGGATATTTAAACAGAGGTTGATAGGAGGTAGAAGGGAAGCAACTGAGGAAAGGGAATGTCAAGGGGCTGAGCAACACCAGACCCCAGAAGTTACTAGAACTCCACTTCCTGGAGTGGAGAGGTTTGCACTGAAGAAGCTAAAGCGACACCCTATGTTTATACCAGCCAGCATTTCAGAAAGAAGGAGAATAACATAAGACCTCTTAAAGACATGGGAAGTCATTTAGAAGAAGAAGATTTGATATTTCAGAAATGAAAATAAAGGACACTGGGCATCTCTGAACCTTTTGTGAAGGCTTTTGGTTTGAACGTGGTCATGAACGTGAGCAAAGACATCGCCCACATTGTCCACGCGCCGTGTCACGTTGCACTACCCTGCTTGCTGTTCGTCTCTAAGATATTACACGACCACGGACACAAGCTCACTGCCTTCCCCCAAACTCCCTGCCTCTCTCTCTCACACCTGGTGCCTATTAATAACTGTAGGTTTCTGTACATTCGTTGCTTTCCTATAAACAAAGTGAGTTCATGCAACACTACAAGGGGCTTCCAAAAGTTCATGGGGAAAACAATCCATTACCTTTCCATCCCCAGGTAATGAACTTTCCCCCCATGAACTATTGGAAACCCATTCATATTCACCCTTTTGCAACTGGCTTATTTCACTCAGAATTACATTTTCCAGGTTCCTCCGACCTGTGGCTTTACTTTCTCTCTCGTATATGTATACATGCATGTGTGTTTGGATTTGTTTTTGAAAGTTGCTCTTCAAAACGACTGTTTTAATTTGGCAGTAACCTTCTGTTATTGTTTCACAGATGAAAACTTTCTCTACTCTTGCTTATTTCTTTGTTGTTGGTTAATTTTTCTCTGTTTTTTTGCACACCTCCACTTCAGCAACCACAACTACACATTTCCCTGAATTTCTGTTTCTGTCCACTGAGCAAACAGATGTTTCCTATGCCTATGCTAGCAGGTCCACCACACACCTGTCAGTTTGTCATGCTGTTGTAGCTTGTGTGTTGCTGTGATGCTGGACGTTATGCCACAGGTATTTCAAATACCAGCCAGGTCACCAGGGTGGACATATTTCGTTAAAGCTTCCAGACGAAGGCAGTGCAGCATGAAGGGCTGGACAATCTACTTCTGAAAATGTAGTCCATGAAACGTTTCTGGGCCACAACAGAATATGCTCTGATATATCTGATGAGGGGCCCAAGATGGAAAGCACTCAAATGACAGTAGCCTCAACAATGGGCGTGAGTGGGAACAGGCACCAGGGCACCATGTTGCACTTCAGGCTACTGACTTGACGACAGCTATAGAGAAAGGTAGACGATGGCCAAGTCCTTGCCGCTATGATGGTTTTCACCACCGTCGTTGGCGTTCCCCAGATGCACGTTTGGGAGCACCAAAGGCTTCGCGTTCATCTTTCTCGGGTAATCAATGCAGGTACAGGTGAGTGAACAGAGACACTAGGGGACATCAGGCACGCCTGCAATCAGACTGACCTAATGGGGACCACTGGAATCACTAGGGGATGCATCCAGAATTAAATCAGAAGAGGATCCTTGGTACTTGCTTTGTTGACGTGAACATAGGTAATAATCGAGCTGATTCCAACTCAGAGTGATCCCATGTCCGGTTCCCGAGGCTGTGATGATGAATCTGAGATGTGCCAATTTTTCCATGTTGCCTACAAGTACCATCAATGTTTCAAACCCACAAGGCAAAGAGAAGGGCTTCTCCTGTCCGCTTGGGAAAGAAGGGCTTCTATAAACACTCGGTGTTGCAGAGGCTAAGTGCTGCTCGTGGGGAGATTTTAATTATCAAACATTTTAATAATAAACATTTTCAGGAAAGGTGAACGCATGCTTACATGTAAGAACCATCAGCATGATGTCTAAGAATTTATTCTTACATGTAGGACATGATTATCTATTCATATCACTTAGGACACACATTACAATTGAGATAGCATTAGAAGTTCATAAAACCCTAAAGCAGCGGTTCTCAACCTGTGGGTCGTGACCCCTTTGGGGGTCGAACAGCCCTTTCACAGGGGTTGCCCGATTCATAACAGTAGCAAAATGACAGTGATGAAGTAGCAATGAGAATAATTTTATGGTTGGGGGGGATTCACCACCACATGAGGAGCTGTATTAAAGGGTCACAGCATCAGGAAGGTTGAGAACCACTGCCCTAGAGGTTCAGCGGTCCCTCACTGCCCACGTCACCCATATAGAATACTGAGAAAGAGAAAATGGACAGTTTGCATAGAAACTGGCCTAATGTATCTGGATGGGCTGGCATCCCTCATGGACATTCCAGGAAGAAGGAAGCTTTTGATTTTGCTTTGATTTGTGTGCTCATCACTACCTTGAAGTTTGTCTCTCGTCAACATAGATGCACTTTTGCTTTGATTCATTCAAATTTGGCCTTGGTCACCTCTGGGCTGGATTCAAAGACTGAGTGGGGTTGTTTTTATCAGACACATTGATCTAAAGACCACTGGCACGACTAGTCGAAACATCTAGCCTTCAGTCAGAAGAAGGTTCTCGGCCCTTGTTTCTTTGACATGCCTAATGAGTCTAAGCTCTTGTTCTTAGCAGCAGAGCCGGTTTGTGCATTTACAGCACCTGCGACACACACTTTACAATTGAGATGGCAACAAAGGTTCACAAAACCTGTGAGAGTGGGCAAGCCCTTGGCTGCTCACACTTCCCAGGTGGGATTCTGAGAAAACCTCATCTTATTTAAATCAGCTTTGGCCATTAGGAAATGAAGGGAAGAAAAGATGTCATTCCTAGTAGCAGACATATACCATGGTCTTAGACCATGTCTAAGACCAAACATAACACAAAGTGTAAGAAATTCTATAACTGGGGAAAATCTGTTCTTCCCAAAATAATTAGCAAATTCAGCCCTTTGGAATTCAAGTTCCAATGGACTTGGAGAGGGGTCTCGCCGGAGGGGGGAGGGGTGTCTTGTTGAGTTGATTCTGAAACCCACAGCCACCATGTCATCAGGTGGCTGATCACTGAACTCTCCTTCCTCTCCTGCGTGGCCCCTTCTGGTGCTAAGTTCACCGCAAGGGACTGTGTGGTTCAAGTGGTGACTCCATCTCAGGTGTATACAAAACAATGCAAGACCCACGTGGACTATACCCCCAAATGTTAACTGGTATCAGATACTCCAAGCATTCTAGAATCAAACATGCGACATATATTTTTTTCTGAAACCTATTCAGGTAGCAGCAGCCTTTGTAAATCTGGTATGAAACTCCAGAAGCAGAGAGGAAAGGCAAGGCAGATTTGTCACCTGAGGATGTAAGAGCCCATCAAAGACCCAAAGGAAACACAACATCTGGACCATCTGGGCACCACATAGGACAAGATTGAACATACACATCTGTACACACTGGGCATAGTCAGACAGAATGTCACAGCAGAGAAGGCTGAACTCGCCTTCCAGGACTAAGAGACCGCGTGGAAGACCAAGCACAAAAGCTCCGACCACACAAAATATGAGAACAGCACACGCCGAGACAGCATGGAAACAAGACTTTTTCAATGAAAAATCATCAATGTTTTCTTGTTTATGATTTATGAGTGATAAGTCCAATACCAAACACACTGCCATCAAGTCTGTTTTACCCCATAGGTCAGGGTGGAACTGCCTCGGTGGGTTTCTGAGACCGTGTCTCTTTATGGGAGTAGAAAGCTCGTCTTTCTCTGGTGGAGCGGCTAATGCTTTTGAACGACTGACCTTGAGGTTAGCAGCCCAATTCATAGCCACTATGGCACCAAGACTCAGATCCAGGTTCTATTAATTTTTTAAAAATAGGAAAGGGGCAGGGGGAGTGCAGAGTGGGGACCAGGGCCCTTCCAGGGAAAATTGGACATCCCCTTGCAGAAGGGCTGCAGGGAGGAGAGGAGCCAATCAGAGTGCAGTGCAGCAATGATGAAATATACCATTTTCCTCTAGTTCTTAAATGCTTCCTCCCCGCCCTGCTATCATGATCCCAATTCTACCTTACATATCTGGCTGGACCGGAGGCTGTACACTGGCACAGATAGGAACTGGAAATACAGGGAATCCAGGACAGATGACCCCTCAGGACCAGTGGAGAGAGTGGCGATAGCGGGAGGGTGGAGGGAAGGTGAGGGAGAAAGGGGGAACAGATGACAAGGCCTACATATAACCTCCTCCCTGGGGGACAGACAGCGGAGAAGTGGGTGAGGGAGACGTCGGATGGTGTGAGATATGATAAAATAATAATAATTTATAAATTATCAAGGGTTCAGGGGGAGGAGGAAGTGGGGAGGGAGGGGTGGAATGAGGAGCTGACACCAAGAGCTCAAGTAGAAAGCAGGTGTTGTGAGAATGATGAAGTCAACATATATACTAATGTGCTGGACACAAATGATGTATGTACAGATTGTGAAGAGTTATATGAGCTCCTAATAAAATGATTATTAAAAATAGGAAAAGGGAAGGTATGTGTAGTCACATGAAAATGTATTTTTTAAATATGCTAGTACACGCAGGGAAAAAATTCTAGAAAGGTATACATCAATGCTTACAAGAATCATATATTTCAAAGCACAGCAAAATGTCACATAAATATATGAGTGTTTTGAGGAAAAGAAACTACTTTAGAAAGTATTCACTCCCTCCACTGCCCCGACTTACAAAGGTCTAGAGACGAATGATAATAAAACTGTAGTGTTCACATTTGTCTATTTGGAATATCAGAGTAAGCAAAAGTCAGATTCATTCTTACTTCTCTTCTTTGTGTGGCTCCCCATAATGGAACTTCTCCCACTTTCCACGGTGGCTGGAAAAGAACAACAAGTGGAGGTGAGGGAACTGTCATCTCCAAACCGAAGTTGATAGACGTACGATAGTTCACACTGTAGAAGATTTGACCTTGTGATGCTGTCTTGAGAATCACTCAAGGAACCAGACAGGCATTGAATTGATATCTCAGGGTTCCTCATTTATGAAACGGGCACCTTATCCGTTTTCAATTCCTTTGTGTGTGTGTGTGTGTGTGTGTGTGTGTACGCGCAGAATAATTAAGAACTTACTGACAACGTTTGTAAGTGATCGCTACCTAAGTCGGTCACATAAGGGAGACAATCCTTTGGAACTACACACTGGGTTTCAAAACAACTGAGCTGCCATCTTTTCTCTGACAAGTAGCGGGACCATTTGGTTACTGAGGACTTTTCAAGGTTGTGATCAAGTGACACGCTATCCTCCAGCAGAGCCACCTTGAGCTTCCTTTGTTCCATGGATGAGTGTGGAAACGAGTATGGAAACCCAGCACTCTATTATTAACATGTTTAGTGTTTAGTATTAACATGTTAGTCTAGTAAACAAGATGCTGCCATTTCCCATAGCATCCTCCACATGAAACCAAGAGGACCCATTCTGGGAATGCGGCTCTATCATGACCACTTGCCGTTCCCCAAAGGGTGAAGTCAAGCAAATGCAACCAACGAGAGGCCGGGACAGGCTGGTCCTCATTTCCCATCACATGTCCTTATGGTCAAATGCATCAAGAAATGGGAACTCTGATGGATGTTTGTGGCACCCTGGCACCCGGGCCCTCGTGATAAGCCAGAGGCTACTGGATGTTCTCCTTGGACTGGCACCGCCCGACTTGAGTCGGTGGTACCTGCTGATCCATCCCTTCCCCCAGCCCCTGGGGAGCCTTATCCATTCTGCCAGGGACTTTGCTCGGAGACCCAGTGCATCCGGGCACACTGTTGAGGACCACGAGACACAGGAGTGCTCCATTACAGGTCCTGGAAGCTCTGCTCCCAAACTGTAATTTGTGAAGAATTTTCACTCACTCGCCCCTCCCCATAAGCCTTCTCCCCCGCTCCCGCCTCCGCACCTACCTCAAGAGATGGCTCTGCTTCCGAAATCTCCCTCTTTTGTTTGTCCTCAGTCTCTGTGTCCCTTCTATTCAATCTCCTCCGTTTCCCTCTGTTATCCTGGTCTCTTTTCCCAAAGTGTGTATCTTGGCTTTCATCCTTTTACCTTTTTTGCTTCTCCCCTTCATGTATTGATGGCATGAATGGTTTCCCTGAATTTTGCATTTCCTTTTATTTGATGTGATTCCTGTAGAGCAGTGCTTCTCAACCTTCCTCATGCCGCCACCCTTTCATACAGTTCCTCATGTGGCGGTGATCCCCAACCATAAAATTATTTTCATTGCTACTTCATCACTGTCATTTTGCTACTGTTATAAATCAGGCGACCCCTGTGAAAGGGTCATTTGACCCCAAAGGGGTCACGACCCACAGGTTCAGAACCACTGCTAGAGAATTATTATTTATGACATATGAGGGGGCTTAAAAAACTGATGTAAAAAATTGGAATGAAAAGATAATGGAGTTTTCTCATGAACTGTTGGAAGCCTCCTCATATATAAGCATATAACCGCCCATGTATATATAGACATCCATGGTGTACAGATGTACCTACGGCATATTTGTGCCCCTACATATAGAATAAATGATATGCATGGTTAAGAACACAAATGGACCTGGAGTTGATTCTGACTAATGGGGATTCCATGGGTGTCAGAGTAGAATCGCCCCATGTGGGTTTTTCAAAGCTGATTTCTTGAAAGTAGACCAGGCTCAGTTACGTCCCACTCAGCAAGTCTGGACCACAGAAGAAAACGCACCGTCCCACACTGTCCTCACAATCGTTCCATGCCCGAGCCCATATTAATCCATCCTGTTGATTCCCTCTGCTTTACCAAGCCTGAGGTCCTTCTTCGAGGCTGGCCCTTCCTAAGGACATGCCCAAAGTACACCGGACGACGTCTTGCCATCCTCGCTTCTAAGGAACATTCTAGCAGTACCTCTTCTGAGACAGACTTGTTTGTTTCTCTGGCAGTCCATGGACTATTCAATCCTCCTCACCAACTTGATCACTCAAAGGCATTGATTATTCTTTTATCTTCCTTATTACTTGCCCAGCTTTTGCACACATACCATAGCTTGGGTCAGGTGCACGTTAGTCCTCAAAGGGACCTCTTTGCTTAGAGGTGCCTCTAATTGAACTCAGACCTCCAGTCGTTTGATTAGCAGCCAGGTGTGTACTCTGTGGAGTGCCTGGGTGGTGCAAACAGGTAACACATTTGGCTGCTAAGCGAAAGGCTGGAGGCTCCAGCTTACCTAGAGGGACGCTGGAAGAAAGGACTTGCCATCTGCTTTCAAAAAGTCTGCCAAACATTCACCAACCCCCTGCCATGTACCAGGTTCTGAGAGCGTGCTGACCAATGGCTGAGGTGTTGGTGTTCGTCAGTCTTATGGCCAACCAAGGCATTTGCATATAAATAAGTGGACATTTGAGAGTATGAAAGAGTGACTATATGACACTACGAAGATGGTCAGGACTGTAACGGATGTTCCAGGGTCATCAGGCAGGAAGAACTAGCCAAATTTGGAAATGAGGCATCATCCGCCGGAGATAGTGTCATGGAAGCAAGAGTTGGAGGAAGATTAGGGAGGAAGAGAGCCAATACATGAGGCCTAACTAGAAGGGAAAGACCGTGGAAAGGTCTACATCGAGCGGATTTAAGTAAGAGTTCAGAGAAGTCTAGTCGACCTGAACATCAAGCTAGTGAGTTGGTGCAATGGGGGAGCTGGAGAAGGAGACAGGGACCCTGGGGAAGGCGGTTTGGAGGCTACAGAACAACACCAGCATATTTTCATTTTTGGCAGATCTATCTATATCCCATAGATTACATTTGATGGGAAATGATTAGAATGAGGAGGCCAAATAGGAAGCGGTTGCTCCAATTCAAGTGAGATGTGATAGAGATCTGGATTAGCGGGATGACATTGAAGATGGAGAGAAATACAGTTTGGAATATTATATAAAAATATAAAAAGAAATATATCAAAGGGAGTATGAACAGAGTTGGGTGACAGATGGGGATAGGGAATGTAGGTTGAGGAGAGGGCTGCCTTATATACCATGCCTACGATTTTTTTCAACTTGGGAAAATGGAACAATTCTGAGAGACCAGGAGGTTTGGTGGTGCAATGGTTAAATGGTGGGCTGCAAACCCAAACATGGGGGCTTGAACCTACCCAGTGGGTCCTCAGGAGAAAGATGTAGTGACCTACTTCCTTAAATATTACAGCCATGTAGACTCTACGGGGCCAGTTCTACTCCCAGATGTCTTGCAATGAGTTGGACTCAACAACAATGTGGTCAGAGATGGAGAACATGGAGTAGCAGATGCTGCTTTTAAAGGAGAGGATGTGCTCAGGTTTGGAAATGTGCGGTTGGAAGTTTGGAGGTATTGATAGACAGCCAAGTGGAGGTGGTCTTCCAGACTTTGGACGGAGGAAAATGTACTCTGACCCTCAGATTAATGAGTTTAGAAAACAGGGTTGGGCTGGAGAAGCGTGTTTGGGTATCCTTAGGCTGTGGATGGTGATTGAAGCCATGGGTGAAGTTCCTGAAGAGAGGCTGCTTGCAATCTGTATAAGATTCAGGGGCTACTTTAATAGTGGGGGCAAGCCCCTAATAAAATGTTTAAAAAAAATAGTGGGGGCATTTCACTAGGAAAATGCATTGCTGTTGTCAATGACCCATTTGGTCCATGTTGCTCCCCACCCGCCTTTTTTGGAAATGCCACGCCTTTCCTCTGCCTCTTGTAGACACGCTGTCTGGGTGCTATGATATCACTCGAGGTTTATGGTTATTACACCAAACACAGTGAATTGTGAGAGGTCGCTTCTTGTCCAACAATCCAACATTTAGGGAGAGGTGGTTAGCATCCAGAGATGATTAGCATCCCGTGTTGTTAAAAAAAAAAATCCTTCTAGAAGTGAGCCTGTGAAGTGCAGACCCACGTTGTCCAAGGATCAACTGTATATTAGAGTTTGAGGATGGTTGCTTTAAAGCTTTTATTTGTCTCTATTTACAAAGCAAGAATAGTTATCTTTTGAGGTTTTTACAATGTTGTGATCACATGCCATTAACATCAATCAGTATATCATTATAGAAATCTAAGGTGACACAAATAGTCTGCCATAGACTGCCAACCTAAAGGTTGGGAGTTCAAACCCACCCAGTGGCTCCATGGAAGGAAAGTCCTGCTTCTGTCAGAGTGACAGCCATGGGAATCAGATGGAGTCGTTTTGCTCTGAAGCCCAGCGGGTCACCATGAGTCAGGGGTTGAATCAAGGGCAGCTGACAGCGATAGGTTCTTAGGGCTCATAGACATGGCGGTAGGTATTAAGAAAGATACCACCTTTTGCTATTTATTATGTCCACAATGGCAACACATCTGTGTTATTGCATACATTTAACCAACAGAACTCATCCTGCCACACATGAGTTTATAGTACCCTCCTGCCTTCATCCATTCCCTAAGAGGACAAAGGAAAGTCTCTGTGGAGACGGAGAGCCAGGATTAACTAGACACGGTGTATCGCTGCCCTGTGTTCTCAGAACAAAATGCATTTAGAAACAGTAGCTTTTAATCCAGACTCCTGAGATCCTGCTGGCCAGGGCTTGGCATCCTAATCTTCGTTACCTGACCCACTTCTTGGCACCGAGCCTGAGGCTTCTGGCGGCTCCTCTCTATCACTCACTTCTGTCCAGTCCTCGTTGATCAGACCTGCAGATGGAGATCAAATTCCTCAATGGTTTCACCTGTGTTTTAGGAGCCAATCTGGCAGAAAAGTCTTCAAAAAGAAAATACTGCGTAAAGGGGGGAAATAAGAGGAGTAGGAAGAGTCCCACTGATAGGTTGCCCTCCCCTTTCGTCTGTCCTGGAGGTTGAGGATGCTCCAGGATCCATCCCCAGGGCTGGGGCTGGGACAGTCACCTAACGGCCAGTTGCACCGTGGTGGGGCACACCCTTCGGCCTCCCCAACTCCCTGACCCGTTTGCACACGCGTCTTCTGCTGCTCTTTCTCGCCCAGAGGGATGGACCGTGGGAACAGCATTGTAGAGGCATTGGAGTCTCCATCAGTGGGGGTCCTTGTGATCAGGGGGAGCAGACGCCCTCCTCACCCCAGGAACTACTTCACCCTGTATGTGCGTGGGAAGTGATCTCACACTGCTTCTCTGCCTGTCAACATTTTGGGGTCTATGTGGCATTTCTGTTGGTCCAACCCTGCTAATTCAATATTTATAATGTGAACCACCTAAAATGCCACACATAGGTTTTTTATTTTAAAGGATATAAAATATTTGAATAGAGCGTTTGTAGCCAAAAAAGGCATTTATTTATTACAAGAATTTTTAATTGCTCTTACCTCTTATTCTAAAGCGTTTCTCCGCAGGAGACGTGTTTCTACTATGCACAGAACCTAGAAAGAACAGAACCCAAACTTAGCATCTTTGAGGTCCAATTGCAAAATTAGAGAATTTCTGAAAAACACATATATATGTGCATCTATACATATACCGAAATCAAAATCACTGTCACTGATTCAATGCTGACTCACAGCGACATTATAGGACAGGGTAGAACTTCCCCAGGGAGTTCTGAGATTGTAGCTCTTCACAGGAGTAGAAAGGCCTGTCTTTCTCCCGTGGAGTGGCTGGTGGTTTTAAACTGCTGACCTTGAGGACGGCGGTTAATTCATAACCACTTTGCCACCAGGGCTCCTTACAACACTGGATTTGGCAGTGAACTTGTATTTTGCGTGAAAACTCACACAAGTTGCTGTAGAAACCTTGGCATTCCATATCTGAAATCGGGATTCTCTCCCAGACTCTGCGGAGTGCTCTGTCTGCATGTGGTATCACTCACATCCGCTTTTGAAAATTAAACCTTTTGGAATCCTGGCACAGAGGTGCCCTCAAAGATACAGGCTTGTGAGTCTTTGCTAAGAGTCCAGACTGTCAGTCCCGCCTCTTCCTGTAATGGCCCCTGTAGGACGTGGGAAATGATCCTCAGAAGGTCACAGGCTGAAGTTTCTTTATTTGTGACACAGGGCCAACTTTCTAATGTCAAGATGATAGGGGCTCGCATAAAGATATTTCAGAATGGCATCGGGAGTCAAAATGTCTGTCAATTGAATTGAATGGGAAAACATTGAATTGAAAAAAATCCCCTTTTTGCTGAGTGGGTTGAAGGGGTCCAAAGTAGATACTCGGATTCCCAGTCAATGATTCAGCTATACATTGAGTTGGAGAGTGAGACCCTGAAACCCTTCTTTCTCTCCATTATTAGAGGGTAATGACCAGGGCATCTTATTTTTTGAGCAAGTTCGTGCCAACTTTGAGCAAGTTTGTAGCCTATGAGCCCCACTTACTCTGAGCAAGTTTGTAGCCTATGAGCTCCACTTCAAAATAGAGTGGGCAGGGATGGAATTTGGTCTATCAATCCGGTACTTTGTGTTCAGTAGCTTTACAGTTGTTGTTGTCATTAGGTGCCATCGGATTGGATCCGGCTTTAAGGGCAGCAGAAGGCAGCACTGTCTGGTCATTCTCACAGTTGCAGTTCTACCATGCACAGTGACGAACACGCCGCCATTCATCGGGTTAATCCTGAATGCAGAATTATGTATTTCTTTGCCTTTTCTGATGTGGTTACCAGGGGTGGATGCAGAATAGGGGTTTCCAGGGTTAACTGGATCCCTGTCTGTGGATGTGCTCAGGACTCAGACCCCCACATCTTGACGCCAGGACTTACCCTCCTTTGCAGGCAACCTTCCCAGCGCTGAGTGCGAGGTTCCGGGGTGCTCGTCCTCCTCACTGGATCCTGAAGCGTCTCTGTGTCTTGCCACTGCAGAAAGGAGCAAATGTCACCTGGGGCCCTCAGTGTATGACAGAGGAGCCAAGACAGAAGGGAATCCTGTGAAAAGAAAATCTACATATAACCCCACCCCCTCCCCCCGGGGGGGATGGACAACCATGGACAACCCCTTCCCTGGGTGCAGGGAGACATCAGACAGTGTAAGACATGAAAAAATAATAATCATTTATATAGTATCAAGGGTTCATGAGGGAGGGGAAAAATGAGGCGCTGATACCAAGGGCTCAAGTAGAAAGCAAATGTTTTGAGAAGGATGAGGGCAACAAATGTACAAATGTGCTTGAGACAATGGAAGGATGTATGGATTGTGATAAGAGTTGTACGAGCCCCCAATAAAATGATTTATATATAAAAAGAGAAAACACTGTATTTCTAGACAAAACTACCTTTATTCTCAAAACTCCATCATCTAATTTGAATTCATGTGACCTAAGGGTAGCCTTTCATCCCTCACAATCTCCTTCTCTCTCTCTCCCTCCTGGTCATGGAACATTTTATTGTGGCGGGGGAGCAAGTTTACAGAGCAAATTGGTTTTCCATGTAAACGTTTATACACACTTTCTTCCTTTCTTTTTTTTTAAAAAAAATAATCACATTTGCTTTCTTGATGAGTCTCCATGTTTCCCTATGCACCGACCATATCACCTGCAAATAAGCGTAGGTTTGCTTCTCCCTTCCCAATTTGGATGCCTTTTATTTCTCTTTCTTGCCTTATTGCATTGGTAAGGACTTTCAAGACAAAACTGATTAAGAGAAGTGATAAAGGGCATCTTTGGTCCCCATTTGCAAAGGGAATGCTTTCTACTATTCTCTATTGAGAATAATATAGACCTTTCAGTTTGTTTATTTGCCTTTAATTATGCAGAGGAAGTCCCCTTCTATTTGAAAGTCTTTATCAGGAATGGTTGTTGGATTTTATCAATTTTATTTGCATCGATTGTTAAGGCCTGATTCTTTCCCCCTGTTTTATTTACGCAGTGGGTATGTTGATGGGTTTACTAATGCCAAAACATCTTTGTGTATCTGATATGAATCCTACTTGGTCATGTTGTATTGCTTTTATTTTTTATATGATGCTGGATTCTATTATCAAGGATTTTGTGGGGAATTTTTGTGTCTATGTTCATGAGGGATATTGGTCTATAGTTTTCTTTTTTCAGTGGTGTCTCTGCCTGGCTTTGCTCTCAGGGTTATGTTTGCGTCATAGAATGAGTTCAGGTGTATTTTATTCTTTCCTCTTTGAGTAGAATTGGTGTCAGCTCTTCTCTGATTGTTTCGAGAGAAGCTCTCTAGGCTAGGATCCTATTTTGTTATTGTTGGGAGTTATGAAATCCTTTTCAGGACTTGTTCTATTGCTGCTGCTGCTCTGATGGGTCTGCTCCAATGAGCTCAGTTGGTGTTAGTTTAGGTAGGTGGTATGTTTACAGAAATGTGTCCATTTCTTTTCGGTTTTAAATTTTGTTGGATACAGCTCTTTGAGTTGGAATATAGCTCTTTGAAGTATCCTGTTATGATACTTTTCATTTCAACTTGCTCTGTTGTAACATTGCCCACTTCATTTTATCTTCATGTTCTTTGCATCTTACTTTCTTTTGTGAAATTTGCCAGTGGTTTGTTGATTTTATTCTTTGCAAAGATCCAAAGTCTAGTCTTGTTGATCTTTTTTATTGTTCTCCTATTTCATTGGTTTCCGCTGTAATCTTTATTATTTCCATTTCCTGGTGATCACAGACTTTTTATGCTGTTCTTTTTCTGGTTGTTTGAGTTGTTATATCAGGGTGTTAATTTTTGTTTTTTGTAGTGTGTGTCTTTACCTCTATAAGTTGACCTGTGCGCATTGCTCTTTCTGTATCCCAAGAGTTTTGGTATATTGTGCATTCATTCCATTTGATTCTAGATTGTTTAAAAGCAGTTTCCATGTATTTGATTTTTTCCCCTTGTTATTATTCGTTAGTGATTTCTCATTTTGTAGCATTGTGATCTGTAAAGATACTTTATACAATTTTGATGTTTTAAAATTTTACTGGGGGCTTCCTTTATGGTCTAACATATGCTGTATCTTGGAGTGACCCATGTACACTGGAGAAGAATGTGGACAGTGCTGTTATTGGGTGGAGTGCTCTGTGTGAAGTTCAGCGGATTGATTGTGTTGTTGAGATCTATCTTTGTCAACTTCTCCCCGAGGTGTTCTCCTCCCTCCTTTTGCTTTAGAGGTATCATTGTTGACAGATTGATGTGGCCGGATCCTTATTTTCAGCCTCAAAGGTTTATCTCATTTTGGAACATTCTTTATCTGGGTGAAGTTGTCCTGTGCCTTCATCCAGGCGGACACTGCTGTTCTCCTCTCTCTGAGGAACTCCCTCCAGCCTTTCTTGTAAGGTTGGTGTGGTTTTACTAATTCCCTTAAATCTGCTTATCTGGACATTATTTTTGCTGTTGTCCTTGAGGAATAATTTTGCTGGATATAGATATTTTGGCTGGTAAGCTTTTTTCTTTGAGAGTTTTAGATATGTCATCCTATTGTCCTCTTACCTGCATTTTTTTGGCGGAGAACTCAGAGTCGTCTCACAGGTTCCCCTTCGCAGACAGCATTTTGATTTTCCCTCCGCTGCTCTCAGGAGTCCTCTTTTGGTGTGTTTGGCTACGGGAAGTTTGATTTTTAGAAGTCTGGGTGATTTTATTTGGGGGGAGGTCTGTCTTGTTTGGAATTCATTGAACTTCTTGAATGGATAGCTTCTTGATTTTATGACATTAGGGATGTTTATTGTCAACAAATCATTGACAAAGTTCTCTGTGTATATATATATATTTGTCTCAGTCACATGTTAAGTTACTCCTCCTTAATGTGCCTCACAGACGTTTTCAGGCTTTCTTCATTATTTTTTCTGGATTGCTTCTTTAACAGATTGTTATCTATTAATTTGGTATGGATTTGCTTTCTATGTATCTGATTCTGTCTTGCATTGATTTAATTCTATTTCTTTGCCCTTCCAATGAGAAATCTATTTCTGAATTTTTAATGTTCATTTTCTGGATTTTTGTTTGCTGTTTATGTATGGTTTCTGATTTTCTTTTTAGTTGTCAATATGCTTTAAAATTATTCCCTGAATTCTTCTAGCTTCTTTCTGTGTTTTGTTTTGTTTGATTATGTCTTTGATTTATGATTTTTTGGTCACAGTTTTATTGACACTTCATCACACATCATACAATTTAATACTTCAACCATACCAAGGAGAGTTGTACAATCATGACCACAATCAATTTTAGAACATTTTCTTTTTCTTCCCTGTAGTTATTGTTATCCATGTACTTTTTTTTTTTTTTAAATTGGAGCAGAAATATACACAACAAAGCATTCTCCAATTCAACAACTTCTACATGGACAATTTAATGCCATTGATGAAATACTTTTCGTGTTGCACAGCCATTATTGATATCCTTTTCCAAACGATTCCACCACCATTAACATAAACTCAATGTGATTTCTTGTTTCCTCTGTTCTCTTGGTCGTTTTCTTAATCTGGTGAAGGGTCCTATATATAATTTCAAGTAGTTCCAGGACCATACCTTCCTCTGAAATGTTTTCTGGCCTTGTATTTTGGCCACTTGCTCAAGCTGTCTCATCCTGTCCCTTAGTGTGATCTGAGGTTGTCTGTCATCTTAGACACATTGCGGCGTTATTGTATTTATTTGTGGATTGTATGTTGTTGGTTTCATGGTGATGTTTTGTTTTGTTTTACAGAGCTGGGTGCGTGGAGTGTGACTGCTACTCTGACCATTAGTTTGGAAGCCCTGAGGCACCCACCATCTGTCGCTGGGTGGGGGCGGGGTAGCAGAAGGGTACAGGTCTCTGCAGACTGTCATGCAGAACACGTGAGGGCAGGTTAGGTGAGTGTTGTCTGTCATTGATCCAGTAGTTCAGGGACAGGGCGTGTCTCCAGAAGATAGTGCCTCATTTCAAATTTAGCTAATTTTTCCTGTCTGCTGACCCCAGAACATCCGTTACAGTCCTAAAAGCCTTCATATTGTAATCTATTCACTCATTTATATGCGAATGCCTTGATTGGTCATAAGACTGACAAGCACCAACACCTCACCCGTCTTGTGTCCTGAACTATCATCAGCACTCCTCTCAGAATCTGATACATGGGAGGGGGTTGAGAAATCTTTGGAAGATTTTTTGCCTAAAGCATGGGGTGATAGATACAACAGGTGTGGCTGGTTAGTTAGGATGTGGTCCAAAAGAGACAAGGGGAAGAAAGAGGAGCAGCAGCAGCCTAGGATGGTGGTGGTCTGTGCAGACGGCAGCGGGGCAGGGGAGCGACAGCAGTGGGGCACCATTGACTGCCAGGAGGTGGGAAGAAGTAGAGAAAACAGCTGGCCACTGGTCAGTGCATTTCTGGATGACCGCAGCGGAATACATGGTTCCTGCCTCAACTCAACACAAGGGGGTCGGGTGGGGAGGGCGTGGAGCCCTTAGTAGTCAGTGTTGAAAGCTACCATCTCAGCTCGCAGGCTCACACCCTTATGCTGGTCCCTAACCCAAATGACCGGGGACCATGGCAGGGGAGTGGTTCCATCTCTGTTTATGGATACCCTCCTTGCTTGGTTGTTATCTGAGTCTGGAGTTCATACCCATTTTTCCGCATCTTGCTTCCTTAGATGGAGAGCACGTTCCGCTCACCTTGTTTCACTCCAGTTTGTCTCCGGTGTGTCTCTCTCACTGGGAATTCTGTGAAGATGCTTCTTAGGCTCCTCACTTGCAAGGTGTCCAAATAGCGAGAGTGTGTTGGGCTGACGGGCAGGGTGCCTTTGTTAAATATTTTTCCTCTTTCACTATTTTTGCTCAGTTTCCCTTCCAACCCATTTTTATCTAATTCCTTGCCCTTTCTTTTGATGCTCAGAGTCCCAGGAAGACCAGTGGTATCTGTTTTCCTTGTCTTCTCTGGTCTTTGTTGTAGAGGAATGATGAGGAGAATCAAACTTGCTCACCCACCTAGCTCTACTGCTTCCCTCACTATTACCTGGGTCTACCACTGCCTGTCAATTTGTCCTATTGGGGTGGCCTGTGTGGTTTTAAGGTGCTGAAGCTATATCACTGGTATTTCAAATTCTAGCAGGGCCACCCATGGTGGACAGGTTTCAGAAGAACTTCCAGACTAAGACAGACTAGAAAAAGAGGGCTGGTGATTTATTTCTGAAAATTAGCCAATGAACACATTGTGGATCATAACAGAACACTAACTTTAGTGTTTAGTGTGGACATGCTGCCAAGTGGGACCCACTGAAAGAGGAGGACGTCGTGTTTGATGAAGTAGAGGACCAACGAGGGCAAGAGAGGCCCTCAAGGAGACATGAGCTCTGCAACAATGGACTTGGACCTTCTGGAGATTGTGGGGAGGGTGGAGGAGTGGGCCATGCTTGTGATGTTGCTTACACAGTTGCCATGACTCAGAGTTGACGCAGGAGCAACCAACAGCAATGACAACAGTGCTTTGTAAGGCTGAGAGAATTCACTGGCGATGGGCTTCTTGGCTCTGTCTTCACCCTCATTCTTCTTAGACCTCATTCAATCCTTCTTTTACTGGTCTCTTTAAAGATTCTGTGCTTGTTGGATTACTGGCACTGTATCTAGTTATTTACATCTTTACGTTCCTTCTGGGGATAACTTGGTATTGAAGACAGCAGGTCCTCACCTGGCTGCTACCCTGACTACCTGAAACAGCCTCATCCCCCTGCACATCCTTGGAAAGTTTACTTGAGAAAACGAGAATAACACTTGTATTAGGTTTGAGTCATTGACTTCTTGGGTTTCTAGGCTATAGCCATGGGCCTCCCTGACTCATCAACCCGCTTGCTGTCAAATAGAATCGACCTTGTGGAAATCTCATGTGTTTCAGGGTGAACATATGTCCATTGGGTTTTCAAGGGCTGTGATCTTTCAGAAGTTGATTGTGAGGTTGTTCTGGGTTGATGCAAATGCCAACCTTTCGGTTAGTCGTTGAGGACTAACTGTTTGCACCACCGGGGGACTAGTACCTAATGCAAACATTAAGACATGAACCTCCTCACATGAAAACAAGTTTCTATTTTGCTTTGGAGGTGATGACTAAGAATTCAAATGTCACTTCTTTAGAAAACAATGTCCATTTGTAATCTTAAGGGTTCTTATTTTCTCTTACCTCTTTTTGCCATACTTTTTCTGAATAGGGGTGATTTTCTGAGACTCATGGGATCTATCAATAAAGGGGAGAAAAGAGTTATTATACACAAAAGACTTAAAAATTCTATGGCAATACATACTGCAGATGAGCTGTCTATCATAATTATATATATTTTTTAAATTTTGTAAGTGGCCTTTTATTGGTTGTTTTGAGATCAGTACAGAGACATTATGAGCAATTCGTACCCAATTAAAAAATCATTTATTGGGGGCTTCTACAGCTCTAACCACAATCCATACATCCATCCATTTGGTCAAGCACATTTGTATATTTGTTGCCATCATCATTTTCAAAAGTTTCTTTCTACTTGAGCCCTTGATATCAGCTCCTCTCTTTTTATTCCTTTCCTTCCCCACCCTCCCTCTCTCACGAACTCTTGATAATTTATAAATTATTATTTTTGCCTTGTCTTAACTTTTCTGTTGTCTGTACCCCTGGAAGGGGGTTATGTTGATCATTGTGATTGGTTCCCTTTATCTCCCCCCACCTTCCCTTCCCCTCCTGGTATTGCTACTCTCATTATTGGTCCTGAGGGGCTTATCTGGCCTGGATTCCCTGTGTTACCAGCTCTAATCTGTACCAGTGTACATCCTCTGGTCTAGCCAGATTTGTAAGGTAGAATTGGGGTCATGAAACTTGGGGTGGGGGTTGGGGCTGTGGGGAATGAAGCATTAAAGAACTAGAGGAAAGTTGTATGTTTCATTGGTGCTATACTGCACCCTGACTGGTTCGTCTCTTCCTTGTGACCCTTCTCTAAGGGGATGTCCAATTGTCTATAGATGGGCTTTGGGTCTCCATTCCATGCCCACACCCTCAATTCACATTGGGTATAATTTTATTCTAGGTCTTAGATGCCTGATACCTGATCCCATTGACACCTCATGATCACACAGATGGTGTGCTTCTTCCATGTGAACTTTGTTGCTTCTCAGCCAGATGGCTCCTTGTTTAATTTCAAGCCTTTAGGACTCCAGACACTATATCTTTTGATAGTCGGGCACCATCAGCTTTCTTCACCAGTTTTGTTTATGCACCCAATTTGTCTTCAGCGATTGTGTCGGAAGGGGATCATCACAGAATTCCAGGTTATTAGAACAACTGTTCTTGCATCGAGGGAGTACTTGCGTAGAGGCCCAATGTCTATCTGCTATCTTAATACTTAACATATAAGTATATGTACATAGATATATTACCCTATCATTATATAAAATATATTTACATATGTAGATGCCTGAATTTAGACCTCTATAAATTCCCTTTACCTCATAGTTCTTTCCTCTATTTACTTTTACTTTTTTCTTGTCCCACTATCATGTTCAGCCTTCATTCAGGTTTCAGTAATTCCTCTGGGTTACATTGCCCTTAATTGAGCCCTGCCAGGCATCCCATGCCCTCTTCACCATCAATTTTAGATCACGTGTTATTCCCTTGTCCCTGGGTTTGTTAACACCTACTTCCATTTCTCATCTCCCCCTCTCACGTGCTCCCCTCCCCACACCCCCCACACCTGTAGGTCTCGTTTTCTCCTCCAGATTGTTTATCCCACCTATCTTATCTAGATAGACATGCAGAGACAATAATAAGCACACAAACAAGACAGAGCAAAAATAAAACAAAA